GCAGGAGGACAGTGTGCAAATCAAGGATTGTCCTGCCTGACACTCAGTATTACAGCCACTCAAGTGCATGTGTCTCTCAAAGTTTGGAGCTGCTGAAAAAGAGAGGATTTCTACTACTGTCTAATGCTATCTAGAGGACAATCCAGAAACAGTGAGTACTCTGTGATGAAAGGGGATTTTGATATTGCTGCATTTGCTGTTCATCTCTGGAGAATGGTCATGAGAAAGCCTGCTCTCTAATTCTCAGAGTGACACAGATCTTGGAAAGCCCAAGCTGCTCAGAATTAGCTATTCCTGCTGCTGATTGATGAGAGAACTCTGTCTCTGTATATTACTGGTGATTGTCTCCTCAAAACTTGTGCTGTGACTGAAGAGTATGTTTTAGTTCCAAATCCCCACAGAAGCTTGCTGCTTTGAATATACTGAGTGAGTGTCAGTACATCAGGAGTTCACCTGTATGGTAAAGATTTGTTGAAGTGTTGTTCTTTTCTATTGCAATGTTCACTGGAAGATTCTGCTTAAAGGAGACTGTGCTATCCTGCTATCCCTGGATTACAAATACTCTCCCATTCAGAGAGTGAGCGCTCTTCCATTGATTAAAGGGCCCCAATGTTGAAAGACTTTAAGTTTCATCCCACTGGCCAGTGGTTAGGTAGGACATTTCTGCTCTAGATAGTACTGCTATAGCAAATGTCAACTAGAAAAGCTACAATTTCTGGGGAAATTGTGTGAAGTGTTCTTGCCTCCACCAGTAGTCTACAACTGGAGTGGGCGGAGTAACTGGGTGGAGTGGGCGGAGTAACTGTTGTGTGGTTGGAGTGGCTGGAGTAACTGTGAAAAGGTTGTACTTTGAAGAGTAACTTTATGGAGTGGGCAGAGTAACTGTGTGGAGTGTTTGGAGTGAGTAAAGATAGTAAACATTACACTAACCAATTGATTGATCAAATTTAAAAAGTGCACATGGCAAGCTTGATAGAGTGAGAAATGCATTTCAACTTTTAATTATTTATATAGCACATTTAATTGCAATGTTGTTGCCCAAAGTGCTTCACAGTTACATTAAAACATACATTTATAAAAACATTAGCAGCATTATCACCTCAAATACTCTCTACTGTAGAAAACGCATTTCCAAACCTTTAACCAGAAGCCGGCCAAACTGTCATGAATTCAAAATTAGATTTCAAATAGGGCAGAGAAGAGCGGTTAAAACAGACTGCTCCAACTTGCTCACTTCACTGGCGGTTGCCATCTTCAAATGGTTGTAGTTTAAAAATTTGGTAAATTTGGCTATAATAATAAGAATATATATGTGAGATAACAGTAAGTGGTCTTGCCATGCAAGAACACTTAATAAGCTGCTAAATCTCATTAAGTGGTCTTGCATGGCAAGACCACTTACTGTTATCTCACATATATATTCTTATTATTATAGCCAAATTTACCACCCTAACTCCTCCCACAGTTTTTACACTACATAGACAGTAATATACGAAAACATGCGAATTGTTCCCGATTGGTGTGCTATTACTTTGTGGAACGTTTCACCTAATGGTTCATGAAATATCGGCGTTTTTGTGGTGAAATTGGTCCCATAGGAATGAATGGCACAATGTTCAAAACTAGAGTGAGAGCTGACAAAAGCTAGAGTGTGAGATGAAAAATCAGGACATGAGTTCTAAACTGCCATCACTCCTTCATTTTCAAGCCCACCTACACAAATCTTATATCAAACCATTCAGCTAACCCTGCTGCCACTAAAAAAGTCCACAGCTAAGCCATAGTCCTGATAGTCTTCACAATATGACCATTTGTTTTCAACTCACGCTGCCCATTGACATTCATTGAAAATCCACTCTAGACACCTGAAATTTGAAGGGCAATTTCTAAACTGCGACTGTGCCTTTTAATATTTCAGAGACATACTATGCATCAAAATGTAGGTCTGGGTCTTGTGATTCTCACAATATAAAGCTCTTCACTGTATGATTTATAGTTTTAAAACTACAACCGTTTGAAGATGGCAACCGCCAGTGAAGTGAGCAAGTTGGAGCAGTTTGTTTTTAACTGCTCTTCTCTGCCCTTGCTGTAGAGTGAGTTGCCATAGGAACCCAGGTGTGTGAGCAGGCAGCAGAGTGACAAAAGCTAGAGTGTGAGCTGAAAAATAAAAGTTGAAATGCATTTCTCACTCTATCAAGCTTGCCATGTACACTTTTTAAATTTGATCAATCAATTGGTTAGTGTAATGTTTACTATCTTTACTCACTCCAAACACTCCATAAAATTACTCTGCCCACTCCATAAAGTTACTCTGCCCAGTCCAACCTTTTCACAGTTACTCCAGCCATTCCAACCACACAACAGTTACTCCGCCCACTCCACCCAGTTACTCCGCCCACTCCAGTTGTAGACTACTGGTGGAGGCAAGAACACTTCACACAATTTCCCCAGAAGTTGTAGATTTTCTCGTTAACAGTTATTGTTTCATGTGTCAATGTCACTCTCATATGCCACCCTAGTCAGTGTGATACTAGTCAGTTTTTGGAGTCTTTGGCGAGTGAATTGTGACTTCTTACTAACTGTGTTATGCAAAGTGGTATCTGTGTGTTTTATATACATTACCTGTGTTAAATCAGCTAGTTCTTTTTCAGGGTTTGTCTTCTTCAATAAAACCCATAAAAAATATTCTCAGAGTGTCGAAGTGTTCTGGATATAATCGGAGGTGTCACCAGATTCAGGTGGGAGCTGAACCTATATATCTAGCCAAGCATCACCCAAGGGTGTGCTACACATGCAAAGCAAGATAGTTCAAGCCGTGATTTGTCATCATTGTGATGATTATGGTTTACAGCTCATGAAAACCCCAAATCCACAATCTCAGAAAATAGGAATATTACATGCAATCAATAAAACAAGGATTGCACATAGAACAATATCGGACCTCTGAAAAGTATAAGCATGCATATGTACTCAGTACTTGGTTTGGGCCCCTTTTGCAGCAATTACTGCCTCAATGCGGCGTGGCATGGAAGCTATCAGCCTGTGGCACTGCTGAGGTGTTATGGAAGACCAGGATGCTTCAATAGCGGCCTTCAGCTCTTCTGCATTGTTCAGTCTCATGTCTCTCATCTTTCTCTTGGCAATGCCCCATAGATTCTCTATGGGTGTCAGGTCAGGTGAGTTTGCTAACCAATCAAGCACAGTAATCCCACGGTCATTGAACCAGGTTTTGGTGCTTTTGGCAGTGTGGGCAGGTGCCAAGTCCTGCTGGAAAATGAAGTCAGCATCCCCATAAAGCTCGTCTGTGGAAGGAAGCATGAAGTGCTCCAAAATCTCCTGGTAGACGGCTGCTTTGACCCTGGACTTAATGAAGCACAGTGGACCAACACCAGCAGATGACATGGCTCCCCAAATCAACACAGACTGTGGAAACATCACACTGGACTTCAAGCATCTTGCAGTGTGTGCCTCTCCATTCTTCCTCCATACTCTTGGTCCTTGGTTTCCAAATGAGATGCAAAAGTTGCTCTCATCAGAAAAGAGGACTTTGGACCACTGAGCAACAGACCAGGTCTGTTTTTCTTTAGCCCAGGTAAGACGCTTCTGACGTTGTTTGTTGTTCAGGAGCGGCTTGACAAGAGGAATACAACATTTGAAGCCCATGTTCAGGATCCGTCTGTGTGTGGTGGCTCTTGATGCACTGACTCCAGCCTCAGTCCACTCCTTGTGAAAGTCCCCAACACTTTTGAATGGCCTTTTCCTGCCAATCCTCTCCAGGCTGCGGTCATCCCTGCTGCTTGTGTACCTTTTTCTTCCACACTTTTCCCTTCCACATAACTTTCTATTAATGTGCTTTGATACAGCACTTTGGGAACATCCAACTTCTTTTGCAATTACCTTTTGAGGCTTTCTCTCCTTATGGAGGGTGTCAATGATGGTTTTCTGCACAACTGTCAGGTCAGCAGTCTTTCCTATGATTGTGATTCCTACTGAACCAGACTGAGAGACCATTTAAAGGCTCAGGAACCCTTTGCAGATTTTATGGCTTAATTAGCTGATTAGAGTGGGACACTTTGAGCCGAGAATATTGCACCTTTTCACAATATACTAATTTGCTGAGATTGTGGATTTGGGGTTTTCATGAGCTGTAAGCCATAATCATCACAATTATGAGAAATCACGGCTTGAACTATCTTGCTTTGCATGTAATGAGTCTATCTCATATATTAGTTTCACCTTTTAAGTTGCATTACTGAAATAAATGGACTTTTGCACGATATGCTAATTTTTTGAGTTTCACCTGTATACCATAGGTTGTAGATGTTATAACTTTCACGCAAAGTAATCAATATACACTTTTTGGGATTTTTTTTAACCAAAGACATGTAGCAGAATACATTTTGACCTAAATTTATGACAAAATTTGAGTTTACTATACATTTTTTATAGCCGAAAGTAAAAAATATTGTTGTTGTTTTTTTTTTTTTAAATTTTCAGTCTTTTCTTGTTTATAGTGCACAAAATAAAAAGTTCACAAGTAATCAAATACCGCCAAAAGAATGCTCTATTTGTGTGGAAGAAAGGACATAGATTTTGTTTGGGTACAGCGCTGCATGACTGCGCAATTGTCAGTTAAACTAGCGCAGTGCTGTATAGCAAAAAATGGCATAAATTGCAGTATCTATACCATAGTCTGTAGACACTATACCTTTCACACAAAGTAATCAATATACACTAATTTTTTTTTTTGTAAAGACGTAGCAGAATACATTTTGCCCTAAATTTATGAAGAAATTTGAGTTTACTATATATATTTTTATAGCCAATAGCAAAAAATATAATTCTTTAAAACAATTTCAGTCTTTTTTTGTTCATAGAGCAAAACATAAAAAGTTCACAGGTGATCAAATACCACTTAAAGAAAGCTCTATTTGTGTGAAAAAAAGGACATAAACAGGGGCGGACTGACAACTCATGGGGCCCCCGGGCAATAGGGGATCATGGGGCCCCTTTGTCCTTGCCCAAACTCAAAAAAGCCTATGAAAAAGATACCAGGGGCATCTCATGGGGCCCCCTACTGACCCCGGGCCCTCAGGCAGTGCCCGAGTTTTCCAAATGGTCAGTCCGCTCCTGGACAGGGGCAGACTGACAACTCATCGGACCCCGGGCAATAAGGGATCATGGGGCCCCTGTGTCCTTGCCCAAACTCAAAAAAGCCTATGAAAATGGTACCACGGGCATCTCATGGGGCCCCCTACTGACCCCAGGCCTCGGGCAGTGCCCGACTTTCCAAATGGTCAGTCCGCCCCTGCTCCTGGACATAAATTTTGTTTGGGTACAGCATTGCATGACCGCGCAGTTGTCAGTCAAACTAGCGCAGCGCTGTATGGTAAAAAAAAGGCCCGCTCAGGAAGGGGGGGGAATCCACAACACCCACTAGTCATAACCACCTCAGGACTTCGTGAGACAAGATTTTTCAGACGCTCCAGTGGCGCAATCGGTTAGCGCGCGCGGTACTTATAAGACAGTAACTGGTGAGCGATGCCGAGGTTGTGAGTTCGAGCCTCACCTGGAGCACAAGTGTTTTGTTAACTGACTTCTGAATAGTTTACATCCTTCTACAAGAGCATATAATACAAACCTATTCTATGACATTTTGTGTATCTATGACATTTTGTGTATCTATGTCACTTGTCTTAAATTTGCATTTTATATTGTAGAAGAAAAAAAAATGTGCTGTTTCCGCCCGGTTTCGAACCGGGGACCTTTCGCGTGTTAGGCGAACGTGATAACCACTACACTACGGAAACTTCCGTGATGAAGTCATGGAAACAGTCCTTCCAAATACGTCACCTTGCAATAGATAGAACTAAAAACAACCTATTAACATTCTGGGAGGTCACACTATTTCCAGTGAAAATGCTTGTTACGTAAATCGCCTCGATTCCCGCCACTCCTTTATAGAGGTTACATAAGCTGCATTACACGATGACCTCCTCCAGTAGAGCTGGCATTCACACGCCATGAGTCAGCCCGGCCGCTGTCATATAGGGCTGACGTTCCTCTCTATGGTGGCACAGGTAGCGTGCAAGTGCCGTTCACATGGCAGCCGATGGTGGCGCTGTCGCATTAAAACGCAAGCTGTAGTCGCTCGGGTAGCTTGTCGCACGCTTTTGAGGATTACCAGGCAACAACCTCTATGGTCGTTTGGAACGCACAGCGGCAGTAGCGGCCGCTCTGCTTCTCGGCTCCTCAGTCTCTATGGTAGCGAGTTGACAGCCGCGCTTGGCGAGGCGGAAGTGCGCGGTGTCCATGGAGATGATGAAGATGTCGGCCACGGCATACGGCGGAGAGAGCTCAGGGATCCCGTTTCTGGGCAGCGGCGGCATCTCGGTGACACCGACCCTGTCGTGGCTGCCGGACAGCGTGCTGCTGGAGGTGCTGAGCTTCCTGTCCGTGCGAGATCTCATCCGGAGCGCCCGGTGAGGGGGTCTGGGGGGCACTAGAACATCACTATGGGGACCCTGCCATCAGCTATCATGGCTGGCATTGTTTACCAGGAGTCATGAGGGTTGGCAGTGAAGGGAAGTCGTCCCAGGCTGTCCATAGACAGGAAGACGTGTGCCTGAGAATGCTGGGCAGGGGGGTTGTCGGCTCACTATGTATGACAATGGTGGACCCTTCTCTCCATAGATCAGTGATCCCTGGGGACCAGCTTGCTGGTTACTGCTTACAGTACCTCCTAGACCATAGGGGGCGCACCATCACTTTCTTCTATTACAGTCATGATGACAAGTGAGTATATGGAGGGGATTTATCAACGCTGAAGCCCATGTGAATGGCGGCCAATCGGATTCTATCTTCAGCATGTTCCATTAAATCAGACCGTCAAAGGCCACTTGGCCCTAAAGGCCGGTTCACACCATAACATATGCGTTTATGTCAGTGTGGTGCCGAACGCGCAAACAGTGCAGCAGGTGCTATTTTTAAAGCGGAAACGAAGTTCTACAACAAGAACAAACAGGAGAGCGCAAACGCCTAGTGCATTACCAACGATTTAATGTGCACAAGACATGGATGCCAAATGGATGCTCACAGAAGTGGAAAACAAGATCGTGTAAAAACCACAAGATGCCACATCTTTGGGAATCGTGTGTCCATGCAACCCAGCCGGACTGGCAACTGATGCGTTTCGGAGGTGTACCTTCCACAGAGCTATGCTCTACGCAAGGAGGTACGCCTCTGAAACAGCTTATGTCTGCTATACTCTGAGGAAGGAGGTACCCCTCCGAAACACGTCAGCTTATGTCTGCTATACTCTGAGGAAGGAGGTACCCCTCCGAAACACGTCAGCTTATGTCTGCTATACTCTGAGGAAGGAGGTACCCCTCCGAAACACGTCAGCTTATGTCTGCTATACTCTGAGGAACGAGGTACCCCTCCGAAACACGTCAGCTTATGTCTGCTATACTCTGAGGAACGAGGTACCCCTCCGAAACACGTCAGCTTATGTCTGCTATACTCTGAGGAACGAGGTACCCCTCCGAAACACGTCAGCTTATGTCTGCTATACTCTGAGGAACGAGGTACCCCTCCAAAACACGTCAGCCTATGTCTGCTATACTCTGAGGAAGGAGGTACCCCTCCGAAACACGTCCGCCTATGTCTGCTAACTCTGAGGAACAAGGTACCCCTCCGAAACACGTCCGCCTATGTCTGCTATACTCTGAGGAACAAGGTACCCCTCCGAAACACGTCAGCTTATGTCTGCTATACTCTGAGGAACGAGGTACCCCTCCGAAACACATCAGCTTATGTCTGCTATACTCTGAGGAAGGAGGTACGCCTCTGAAACAGCTTATGCCTGCTATACTCTGAGGAAGGAGGTACCCCTCCGAAACAGCTTATGCCTGCTATACTCTGAGGAAGGAGGTACGCCTCCGAAACAGCTTATGCCTGCTATACTCTGAGGAAGGAGGTACCCCTCCGAAACACGTCAGCTTATGCCTGCTATACCCTGAGGGAGGAGGTACGCCTCCGAAACACGTCCGCCTATGTCTGCTATACTCTAAGGAAGGAGGTACCCCTCCGAAACACGTCAGCTTATGCCTGCTGTACCCTGAGGGAGGAGGTACGCCTCTGAAACACGTCCGCCTATGTCTGCTATACTCTAAGGAAGGAGGTACCCCTCCGAAACACGTCAGCTTATGTCTGCTGTACTCTGAGGAAGGAGGTACGCCTCAGAAACAGCTTATGTCTGCTGTACTCTGAGGAAGGAGGTACGCCTCCGAAACACGTCCGCCTATGTCTGCTATACTTTGAGGAAGGAGGTACCCCTCCGAAACACGGCAGCTTATGTCTGCTTACTCTGAGGAAGGAGGTACGCCTCGGAAACACGTCAACTTGCCAGTTTACACCTGCTAAGCTCTGAAGGAAGGAGGTACTCCTGCGAAACGCGTCAGTTTGCCAGCTTGTGTCTACTATGATCTGTGGAAGGAGGTACGTCTCCGAAACGTGTCAGATTACCAGCTTATGTCTGCTATGCTCTGTGGAAGGAGGTACGCCTCTGAAATGCATTAGAATGGCAGCTTATACCTGCTAGCTCTGAGGAAGGAGGTACACTTCCAAAACCCGTCAGCTTTCCAGCTTATACCTACTATGCTCTGTGGAAGGAGGTACGCCTCAGAAACATGTCAGTTTACCAGCTTATGTCTGCTATGTTCTGTGGAAGGAGGTACGCCTCTGAAATGCATTTGAATGCCAGCTTACCCCTGCTATGCTCTGAGGAAGGAGGCACTCCTCCGAAATACGTCAGTTGCCAGTCTAACTGGGTTGCATGGACACACACGATTCCCAATGTTGTGGTTCTTGTGGTTTTTATGCGATTTTATTTTCCACTTCTGCAAGTATCCATTTGACATCTATCTTTTGTGAACGTTAAATCATTGGTAATGCACTACGCGTTGGCACCCTCCTGTTTGTTCTTTTTCTAGATTTTTGTTTTTTTTGTCTTTTGGAGTTTTTTTAAAATTTTGCTACCACTTTAACAGATAATACATGCATTTCCCGCAAGTGGTGTGAACAAGTCCTTAAAATGATTGGAAATCACTAAGTTATTAACCCTTCCACCGCTGCATCCCAGCCCTTTAAGAGCTTTTAAATGCCGGGAGATGGGCATTTGGGTCATGTCACGGCAACGATTGGCTGTCACCACAGTCACATGACTGGAAAGCTCCCAAACGCTAGTATGCTTCTCAATCTTTCCATTCCCCGCCGGTGTCTATGGGAGCTGGGAGCGTGTAGGGCATTCACTCTCAGCACTGGAAGTTGTTTAGTTTGGCCCTCATATATGCAGCCCCTCAGCATTGAAGCCCACCCACTGAGAGGACGCATATATACACCACATCAACGGGAGAGGTTAAACGTAACTATAGAAGAGGAATTAGAACACCTGTCAGTTTTTATTGCTGCCTGTGCCCCGCTCTCTTTGTCCTGTTTACTGTCATCAAAAGCGAAAGTAAAAGAAAATCCCAAATTTTGAGTTGATGGCAGAAAGAAAAACTTCCAATGGGGACACTAGTTCTGGTGACACATCGGGACTGCTCATTTTGCAAGGATTTCCTAGCACTTCCTGTTCGTCTATGGGACAGGAAGTCACGGGAAATCTCCCAAATGGGACACAGATGGCAAAAAAAAAACTGGCAGGCGTTATAACCGTGTCTTACTTTATGCACTCTTTGATCCTTTGCCTTCTCTTTGGCGTTCTCCCATGTTCTGTCTGCTCGCCCAAAAAATTTCCAGACCTTCTTTAGGGCGACGCATGTCACGCAATTTTGTTTGTGTGATCACAGCACGATTGTCTTGTGAAAAATTGCACAGCAGTCACGGCAGAATCACCCCATGTTTTCAGGTGGCACTGAAATGAATAGTACCTGAACACGCTGATGAACAATTTCACATTTTAACTGCGCATTTTGAAATCACATGCCACATCGAATAGCTGCACACAGAAGGTTTTTTAGAATGCATGAGAGTAAAAGACCTTCTGCCTTTACAAACACTTTAAATTAGCAATGCCATAAGAAAAATACAGATCTGGAGGTTCAGAAGACTGGTATAAATGTACTACTAGTCCTGAATTACATCTGCTGGAAATTGATGTTGTCCAGACAGGTTTTCAGTGTAGAGTAAATGCCAGCTTACTTATATTGCCTCTCTGAATACTTAGCAATAGAAAATTAAAGTGACTATGTAATATTCTATAGCCAGTGCTCTCACAACCTTCATATCAACTAGCTCAACCTCCCCTTATGTCTTTATTTTAAGTTCTCACACCTTCATATTATAAATGGATATAATTATTTGTTTTTAAGAGTCTGCAAGCGGTGGAAGAGGCTGGTGTTGGACAAGTCGCTGTGGAGACATGTTGATTTAACACCATATAAGGTCAGTTTATGTCTTCCAACAAATAATTATTTGTTTTTGCACGTTGACATCCGGCACTGGCAAATGGTAAGAACTCCCATCTTCACTGAGAGACGCACCCTGATCCTACAAGTACAGGAACGTGTGCTTCTGTGACTGCTGCCACGCAACAACATATGAGACTTTATCACAGTCCTGTTGTGTGAACTGAACTCCAGTTCGCACCAGGACTAACATAACCTGATTTCTGCACTGCCAGGAAAGCGGGAGCCTAAATTCAAATTGTGGTTTAAGGACTTTGCAGCAGTTTTTGTTTTTACTAACAGAGGATTGGTGGAGTATTTTAGAGGATGATGCAATATGGTTTTAATTGAGGAATATCTATGAGAGGAGAGACAGAGTGAGACGGGGAGAGGGTAGACTGAGCGAGATGGAGGGAGGCTTATCAAAGAGGGAGAGACGGAGGGAGGCTAGACAGAGAGAGAGAGAAGGAGGGAGGCTAGAGAGAGAGAGAGAGAGAAGGAGGGAGGCTAGACAGAGAGAGAGAGAGAGAAGGAGGGAGGCTAGAGAGAGAGAGAGAGAAGGAGGGAGGCTAGAGAGAGAGAGAGAGAGAAGGAGGGAGGCTAGACAGAGAGAGAGAGAAGGAGGGAGGCTAGACAGAGAGAGAGAGAAGGAGGGAGGCTAGACAGAGAGAGAGAGATGGAGGGAGCTAGACAGAGAGAGAGATGGAGGGGGCTAGACAGAGAGAGAGATGGAGGGGGGCTAGACAGAGAGAGAGATGGAGGGGGGCTAGACAGAGAGAGAGATGGAGGGGGGCTAGAGAGAGAGAGATGGAGGGGGGCTAGAGAGAGAGAGATGGAGGGGGGCTAGAGAGAGAGAGATGGAGGGAGGCTAGAGAGAGAGAGAGAGATGGAGGGAGGCTAGAGAGAGAGAGAGAGAGAGAGAGAGAGAGAGATGGAGGGAGGCTAGACAGAGAGAGGGAGGAGAGAAAGATGGAGGGGGGATAGAGAGAGGGAGGAGAGAAAGAGAGGCAGGGGGATATAGAGAGAGGGGGGATAGAGAGACAGAGGGAGGGGGGGAGACAGAGGGTGAGGGGAGAGACAGAGAGGGGGGGAGGGGGGAGAGAGGGGGGGGAGAGAGAGAGGGAGGATGGACAGACAGAGAGAGAGGGAGGGAGAATAGACCGAGGGAGAGGGAGGATAGACAGAGAGTGGTAGGGAGGAAGGATGGAGAGAGAGAGAATAGAAAAAGAGAGATATGATGGAGAGAGAGCAAGGATAGGCAGAGAAGATGAATAGAGAGAGGGGAAAGACAAACAGATAGGGGGCAGGTAGACCAACCAAGCAGGCTCATACAGAGGGAACATGGGGAGACGGATAGACAGGCAGACTGACCAAGAGAATAGGCACATACAGAAAAGAGATTGAGAAAGAGGACAGAGGAGAGACAGACAGGACAAAAGAGAGGGCAGTCAAGCAGGCAGCTAAATAGACAGGCAGGCAAGAAGACAGAGGGGGCAGAAGAAAAGACTGAGTAAATAAAGATCAGTAGAGATGGACCCATCACATCACTTTCTGCTTCCCTGATAGAACACAGGAATGGATAATTAACCCTTCCCCTGTCTGATTCCTACCTCCACCAGCCTGCACTGGAAAGCTGACAGTGAAGTTGTGGTGACAGACAGGGCACAGGCTGGCAATGTATGGAGTCAGTAGAGCACACACAGGGAATTAGCTTACAGGACACAGACGATGTGGGAGTGAGAATCAACAGAATAGGGAAGATTCCTGCTTGGAGAGAGCCATGCACAGGAAGGCCTGCCCCTCCTATACGAAGAGCAGTATTTCAGGTTTGCTTGCTCTTGTCTGACATTCAGTCTTCTAACAGTCCCGGCAAAACACTGATTAATGTCTGCACAGCGCCCGGGGCTCCCCAGTTTTCTTCTGCGCACATAGGACACAGTCATACACCTGATTATGACAGAGACACTTAGGGACTACAAAGCTTAGGGTGAGCCAGCAGCAGCATCAGGAGGACATCATTATTGTACAGCTTTAATAAGGGTGGGGGGATAGAGGAAAGTGTATAAGGCACATATAGAAGACCCGCTGCCCTGTTTATTTTGTGGACAAGCCTTCACATCCCATGACCCCAAACAACAATATATTCCTTAGCAAGGTGCTTACCAAAAATGATGGTTCTACCTGCTGTCTGATCCACTGGCAAGGCAGTAAGCAAATGGATAATCAATTGCTCAGCTAATTTATTACTGGTGTTCTCATTCTCATCAAAGAGCCTTGACGCAGAGATGGGAAAGCCCCTCTCTCTCTGACATACATGATACTTTTTAATTCATAATACTGTGTCCAGATCCCACTATATCAGGGAAAATATCACAGGATTTTGGAAGCAATTTTGTCACAATCAGTGTGGGCTAACTGAAAGTGTGTCCCTGTGTCTTCTTGTGCTGGAATTTTTAAAAATACCACCATTACAGCACTGGAAAAAAAAAGGATTGACAAATATGAAGCACCAAACCGCTTAGTGTATGCTTTGACCACAATACTTAGTCTGAAAAGTTCTATCCCTAAAACATCTTTGTCCTCCCTTGAGACAAAGGTGGAAATATATTTTTAAGCAGGACGCCAGGCCGATTGCTACAGTGCCTTGAAAAAGTATTCATACCCCTTGAAATGTTCCACATTTTGTCATGTTACAACCAAAAACGTAAATGTATTTTATTGGGATTTAATGTAATAGACCAACATAAAGTGGCACATAATTGTGAAGTGGAAGGAAAATGATAAATGGTTTTCAAATTATTTTTACAAATATGTGAAAAGTGTGGAGTGCATTTGTATTCAGCCCCCTTCACTCTGATACCCCTAACTAGAATCTAGTGGAACAAATTGCCTTCAGAAGTCACCTAATTAGTAAATAGAGTCCGCCTGTGTGTAATTTAATCTCACTATAAATACAGCTGTTCTGTGAAGCCCTCAGAGGTTTGTTAGAGAACATTAGTGAGCAAACAACATCATGAAGGCCAAGGAGCACACCAGACAGTTCAAGGATAAATTTGTGGAGATATTTAAAGAAGGGTTAGGTATAGAAAAATATCCCAAGCTTTGAACATCTCATGGAGCACTGTTCAATCCATCGTCCGAAAATGGAAGAGTATGGCACAACTGCAACCTACCAAGACATGGCCGTCCACCTAAACTGACAGGTTGGGCAAGGAGAGCACTAATCAGAGAAGAAGCCAAGAGGCCCATGGTAACTCTGGAAGAGCTGCGGAGATACACAGCTAAGGGGAGAATCTGTCCACAGGACAACTATTAGTCAGATACTCTACAAACGGGGGGGCTGAATACATATGCACGCCACACTTTTCAGATATTTATCTGTACAAAAATGTGAAAACCATTTATCATTTTCCTTCCACTTCACAATTATGTGCCACTTTGTGTTGGTCTATCACATAAAATCCCAATAAAATACATTTACGTTTTTGGTTGTAACTTGTCAAAATGTGGAAAATTTCAAGGTGTCTGAATACCTTTTCAAGGCACTGTAAATACATCACTGAACTACATATAGGCTGCCATGGCTCTCATGCACATCACTGGATTGAGATGGGGCTCAGGTAAGTATAAGGGGGGGCTGAGGGAAATGCTGCCCCCAGCCTGTGATTGTTAGATGAAGAGGTGAAATGTTGGATCCTTGGTTTGGATTTGGTCTTTCTAGAGTATAAGTTCCCTGACTGGTTCCTTGAACCACTATTTTGAGAGTTTGAAGGAAGAAGAATGCTACACTTTTTTTTTTTTTTTTTTTTTTTCCAGAAACTAGTTTGTTGCTCACAAGCTATGTTGATCCTACCAGTAGATATTCTTTTTCCATTTCCTGTACCAGACCAAACTGTTCAGACAATTGGGCTGGAAGAAACCATATTTCAGTGGTGGGGTCACTTTAGTGGAAGTGTAACAGGTTTACTGGTGGGATCAGCAGGTAATTAAATTGTATAAATGTTTATTAATTTTACTGTCATACATGTAGGTTGTTTGGGTTTTCCCCAGAAGCAGTCAAACTCCCAGTTGCAATCTCTGTGTCCTGCCTTGTTGATAGGACGTGAAAACTGTTGGAAGCTCATTCCCAGCATTACAGGAGTGAAATCACCAGTTTTCTCATCCTAGCAACAAGGCAGGATGTGGGGATTGCTAACTGGGAACAGTTTGGCCAGGTGTCGTGGCAGACCCAAATGGCCCACACATATGTCAATGCCATCAGTTAAAATTTTTTTTCAAAGCTGCACATGTTTTTAATATCTGCTGGGGCCTCCTGACTGCAAGTGCTATCTTCTGGAAAAAGTGAGCTTAGTCATTATTATTTAAAATGATTTAAAAATAATAAACATGTTATACTTATCTGCTCTGTGCCATGGAATTGCACAGAGCGGCCCCTTACCTCCATTTCTGGGGCCCTTCGCTGGTGCTGTCAGTTGCTCCTCTTCTCTGAATTCCACCATAGCAAACTGCTTACTATGGTGCACTCCTGAGCCGTTCTTTGTTCATCCATAGAGACACAGCACAGGTTGCCCCCCACTCCTTCCTCACAGTATTTGATTGATAGCAGTCCTAAAGGTGAACTAGGTTTGAGATAGTTAGACCTTGGCATAGGGAATTCCAGAGGATGGAAGAGACTCTGGAGGAGTTCTGGAGGCGAGCATGGGAGGAGGTGATGAAGGAGCTAGAGAGCAGGAGGTTGAGGTAGGAGCAGAGAGGATGGTTTGGGTGACATTTTGAGATGAAGTTGATGATGTAGTTGGGAGCAGAGCTGTGGATGACTTTGTATGTTGCTGTTAGTATTTTGGAATTTTTTTTTTTAGTTGGGCAGTTGGCGGTCAATGGAGGGATAGGTGGACACTTAGCAGTTGATTAGGTGGATGAATCTGGGAGCAGCATTCATGAATGATCAACGTTTCTCAATCTTTTCATACACAGCGGAACCTTTGAAATTACGGTACTTTCTGGTCTCAGGGAACCCCTGTTAAAAATGACTATATCTACAAGTCATGTTACATTAGTGTGATGGTTACTGGGAAGAATGCTCCTTACACTTGTGGTCATTGGGAAGAGTTACCCCCCCCTTACAAATAGCTAAAACAATCAATGGTGTCAGTGGGAACTTATCTGAGAGGCAGAAACCGCTAGTAACCCTTGGGGGAACCCTAGTTGAGAAACCCTGTGACAGACTGAAGGGGACATAACATGGTTTGTCCCAGGCCATGTAGGCCACTATTGCTGGACAGCTTTGTGTGTACATTTCGATATATATATATATATATATATATATATATATATATATATATATATATATATATATATATATATATATTTATAAAAGGCCCTTTGTGGAGACTTTTTCATTCATACGTAAGGAAGCTTCAGAATCAGACAGATGGAAAATACATTTTGCATGCATACATGTTTGTGACATTTGCTTACAGTAGACAATTAGGTTTTCCTCTGGTTTGTTGGTTGTAACCATCAAAAGAACTGGTTCAATCTGCATGTTTGCTTCTACTAGTCTGTTTAGTGCAGAACTTATAACGGTTTTCACAACCTTCGGGAGGTGACAGGAAACAGGTGGTTAGATGTTCTCCTAGCATGCAGTGCTGTATGTAGCCACTGAATAAACACTCTTAGCTGATGTGACTGTGGACCTCCTGCTATATTAATGTTCTCTTCTGATATGAATCCTTTCCCTTAAGTTTGTAACATAGATAAAGGAGAACTTTACTGTTTTGGTTTTATTTTTTTATAAGTACTTGCTAAAGTTTTAATATATAATTCCTAGATTTTAAGCTCTAACGTGCAGGGCCCTCTGTTTCCTCTTGTACCAGATTGTATTGTAACTGTAATTATTATGTTATTATACAGGATTTATATAGCACCAACAGTTTGCTCAGCGCTTTACAATATAATGGGAGGCAATACAGCAACAATACAGTTCAATACAAGAGGGTTAGGAAGCTCCTTGGAGCTTACAATCTAAGAGGGTGGGGCTAGTGGTACAAAAGGTAGTAACTGTGGGGGATGGACTTGTAGGAGGAGTAGAAGATTCCATTATTAGCTGAGGGCAGGATAGGCTTCCCTGAAGAGAGGTTTTCAGGGATCGCCTAAAAGTGAGCAGAGTAGGCTATTAGTCTGATAAATTAGGGTAGAGAGTTCCAAAGTATGGGGTAACTCTAGAGAAGTCCTGGAGATAAGCATGGGAGGTGGAGACAAGGGAGCTAGAGAGCAGGAGGTCATGCAAGGAGCGGAGAGTACAGTTTGGGTGATATTTGGAGTAATGTCTACCTTCATTTTGTAAAGCGCTGCGCAAACTGTTGGCACTACATAAATCCTGTATAATAATAATATAATCTTATCAGTTAGTATTTGCTTAAAAGAGAAGTATAACCAAAGCTCATTTGACTGTACTTCTCCCGTGGATCACAGGAATGCAGCTCTTTTTGCACTCCTTTGACCCATTTTCAGCTGACAGTGGCTCCAGACCAGGGGTAAACTGTCAATTCATGGGGCCCCCGGGCAATAGGGGATCATGGGGCCCCTGTGTACTCGCCCACACTCAAACCACACCCAAAAAAGCCTATGAAAGGTACCAGGGACATCTCATGGGGCCCCCTACTGACCCCGGGCCCTCGGGCAGTGCCCAAGTACCCGAATGGTCAGTCCGCCTTTGCTCCAGACTAGGGAGAGATCTCAACCTTATGGTTGGAATCTACCCAGGAGCCTGGACAGGCACCTGGCTCAGCTTCTCAGTGATCCGCTGAGATCCTGAGCCAGCCTCTCCCACCCCCTCCACAGCCCAGCACTCCAGTAAACGCTAGTTGGGAGCAGAGCAGACAGCGGTGACTGCCAATCATCACTGCCTGCTGAGAGTAGCAGGGAGAACTGAGCGATCAGCGGTGTCTAATCACTCAGTACTTACCATTAGAGTCTGCATGGGACAGATCCACCTAGATGAGTATGATTTAAAAAAAAAATAGATACAAAAGGCACATATTATTGCGGCTTTGTAATTAATAATGCTCAATTAAATGTATTTATAAGCTAGCAGTGTAAGCACCTGGATTTGACTTTGCATCTGCCCCTTGCAAACCTTTTACAGCCGCGCTTTAGAGGGGGAGAGAGAAGCAGCCGTCAGGTATGCTGATTGCAGTGAGCATGCTGATGGGAGGAAAAAGCAGAGTAACAGAGCTCATCAGTGTGCTGCTTCTCACATTATCCAGGCACAGGCTGAGGATTGGGAGGAGAACTAGAAGTAAAAAGTGTAATTGCAGCAGTGAAAGATTAGACAAGGCTGTGATGTGAGGTTGATCTCTCCAAAATATCAGGACTGGATGGAGAATAATACATGTAAAGCAGCTCTAGTATGTATTTTTTATTCTCTGTATTTAGTTGATTGCTTGGAGTTCAGATTTTAATTTCCTGTTTGTAAAATTTGTATGCCATATGTTCTCATATGAAGGCTGTTCTTTCTTCTAGTTGTATGGAAATGAAAGCAAAACTCCATCCAGAGAACTAAATGCACAGATGAAGTATTGTACCTGCCAAAGGATTTTATTCTGTTCAGCCAGTATTGTTTTTTTTTTTCTGTAGTCCACAAAAAGAGCTGGGAACAATACTAACTGGTAATAGCACAGGAAGTTATCAATCCATGTTCAGCCGGTATTGTGACCTATACATCTTTGCCACACCACACAGCTAGGAAACTGACACATGTAATCATTGGTTCAGCAGCACAGCTTTCTATGTCATCTTCCTGCCTGCTGATTGGACAATTCAGCTCTAAAGCTGAAGATTAGGTATGATTTTTCTTGCATAGTTACATTGATCCAGCTTGGACAAATGTAAATATGTATCTCTCATACCTGACTAATCACGGTGGCAGCTGCAAATCAATTGTGGAGTCAGTGTTTGTGAAGGATCTGGGTATTCTGGTTGATCTAAACTTAATAGCATGCAATGCCAAGCTGTGATTTCTAAAGTAGTAAGCAACGTTCTTTCTTGTATTAAAAGTTATAGACTCCAGAGAGAGAGATCTTTTTTTCCCTGTACAAATCATTAGTAAAACCTCATCTGGAGAATGCAGTTCATCTGGTGGTGAAAGCTAAAGGTTTTTTTTTTTTTTTACCTTAAAGCCTTCTCTGCATTAAGATAAAAAAAACATTTATGTCCACCCCCATCCCTCCATAAATACTTGCCTGAGCTTGATCTCGATCCAGTGCTGTTCCTGTGAGAGCAACTTCCTCCTCACTAGACTCATTGAAAGCTGTTCTGCTGCTGTCAAATCCAGCGGTGAGGGAGTGAGGGGTGGGGCCGAGCCGAACTGTATGTCAGTAGATACAGCATGGCTCAGGATCAAGCCCTTACGTGTGCCACCATAGAAAGCGGCTTCCTTTGGTGGCGCACAGAGAAGAGGAGGAGCCAGGAGCACTGGACCCCAGAAGAAGAGGATTAGGGCATCTCTGTGCCAAACCATTGCACAGAGCAGGCAAATCTAACATGTTCTATTAATAATAATAATAATAATAATAATAATATTATTTTTATTATTACATTTACAACCACTTTCAGTTTTCAGCACCTGTTACAAAAAGGATGTTGGAGAACTGAAGAAAGAGAGTGCAGAGAAGGGCAACCAAACTGATGAGGTCTGGAGGAGCTCAGCTATGAGGAAAAATTAGCTGAACTGAATTTATTCTCTCTTGAGAGGAAGCAATTACGGGAGGATATGATCACCATGTGTAGATAAATAAGTTGTCCAGATAGTGAACATGGTGTAGTTATTCTCTTTAACAACCTCAATACTGTTATATGTATAAATATGACCTTGTATTGAGGTGGTTCTACTGGGATCATGGGTGAGGCTACATCCATAATCCTGGTACCATTTTTTTTTTTAGATCCGGCGATTCTCTTTTATGTAAAAGTGATCCGCGCAGCTTTACAGCTGCTAGATCACTTTTATAAGCGGCAGCATGGATTCCCGCTACCATTGCCTTTACAGGGCTTTCCCATCCCATCAGGGAGCCCGGTAAGGATGCAACTGGTGGTATTTGCTTTCCAGGCACACAGTGGGGGGAACTAATGTTGTTCCTCCCACTGTGTGATGTCAGAAACTGCAAGTGACAAGGATTTTGACATTTCTGGTTTCAGTTTGTTGTTTTCAGGCCATTACTGGCTTGTGAAAGCATTTGTTCAAACCGATTTTGGTTTCATCAGATGCTTTGGAGAGAGTTTGGGTCTCATAGACCCCAGATGTTTCCATATAGAGGATCTGTCCCTCTCATGCTATCAAAGTATGTTGCTCATCCCTTGTGATAGCAATAAAGTTGATTTAAAAATAAATCAATAAAAAGGGTCAGTGTGAACAAAAACCCATGAATTTAAATAAATTGCAAAAAGTATGCCTGTTTGCAATTTTTGTTTATTTTTTTAACTGGTTCTACTTAAAAGCTGTCTTTGGGATATTTTTTTTTTTTCTCCATCATTTGTATCATCTTGTGAAAAGTGTGTAGTTTCCCCAAGCTAGCATGTACGCTATATTGTATTCTGATTGAAATTATTATTTTCTGTTTAACAGCTAGATTCAAAAATACTCTGGAACCTAGTGAGGCATTGGCTTGGCACCAGCCTGAAGACTCTAAAAATCAAGGGACTTCTGTTATCCATGAAGAAACAAGAGTTCCTAACCCCCGCCATCCTCCAAGTGTTGGATAAGCGTTATCCCAGCCTAGAAAACCTCCACTTGGAGGAGACGCACCTCCGTTCTCTGAGCTATGACTGTCTGCCTTCCACCTTGAAAACACTGGAGCTGACCCAGTGTGAGATCCCAATGACCTGGTTCAAATCATCACCCAACAAAAGCAAAACTCTGCCAAAACTGGAGACCCTCATTCTGAACAATGTGTCCTCTTTTTCAAGCCATCATTTGGAAGCCATATGCAGTCAGTCAGTCCTAAAGACGCTTTACCTTGTTGGCACCTACAGAGTCACTGACATTGGTATTCAGAAAGCAGTTCCCTATCTTAAAGGACTCGAGCACTTAAAACTGAAGACTTGCAACATAACAGATATTACGTTGCACTTGATTGGATGTCATTTGAAGCACTTACGGACTTTAACGCTCACACATTTCTGCTCTCTAACAGATGCGGGTTTGATTTGCCTGTCCAGTGTTAGGAGTCTGGAGAAGATGTGTTTGGAGTATTGCCTCCGCCTCACCTGGAACTGCATCCTAGCTGTGTGTGTAAATTTACCAGCCTTAAACTACCTTGACCTCAGTGGGATCTCTTTTGAGGATCAAGGTATTGACAAGATTCGGAAAAGACTCCCACATTGCACTGTCACTAACTCCTTATCAAACATGGACTCCGTCCCAAAGTTTTAAAGAGGGAGGTACAGTAATGGGAGATGGCAATGTCTGTACTGCTTTTAAGCCCAATACACCCTTTTACTACAAGCTTGTACCTGGAATTGTGTTGGGCCGACGCTTATAGGCACTTTCTTATTTTTTATTTTATTTTTTTATTTTAATCTTATATTGCTTGATGTATAATGTGTGGGTATATATTATTATATACACGCATATGTTATGCTTGATGCCACTTACATCATGGTAACAATTTGAGCTGTGCAGTGTAGAGTATCGATTTTATTTTTAGTTGCATTTTATAGTGTAAATGTGTCTCGCTATCGGTTTAAAATCCCTTAAATGTTTGTGGGTCAAATTTAGGTACCATCAAAATCATGTACGCTCAGGCAGGTTGCACCATTATGTGACACGAGATTTGCAAACCTGTTTCAAAAATTAAAATGAAAAACTGCTTAAAAGTTAAAAAATATATATAAATAAATTTAAACATGAATGAAAATTACTTAAAAAAACAAAAAAATTTAAATAAAAATATTCAGAACTTTAAAAACTAAAGTAAAAACTAGACCTTTTTTGCACACCTTTCTCTCTACATTTTTTTGCAACAGCTTTATCAGTTTTTACAACTTTGTCATAGGTTTCAACATATTTTAGACCTGTTTGGGGGATGGGGTTAAAGTGGAATTTCAGACAAATTCTAAAAATATGCATGATTCATATGTGAATGACTTTGCTCCCAAACCTTTTGGATTTCTGTGCATCCACTATTGTAATTCACATACTTTCATGCCATAGGACTACCTTACTAACCAGTTAGTTAAGTCATTGGCATGTAAATGATGTATTTAGATTTGTACATGAGAGCAACCTTATTTGCAACAGGAAGTTTTAGTTCCTAAAGAGGAAGTTTGACCTTGATTTAAAGCACTGTTCAGCTGTAGTTTGGGGAGGTTAAAGGGGGTGCTGACATTCATCACTTTAAACAAGCTTCTAATGGGTTCTTTCAATGATAATATTCCAGTAAGACCGTATGATTATTATGTATATTAAATATGTTACCTATAAAAATCTTTCCTTGTGAAGACATCTAAAGGCTCTTTGATTGCTGCTGGGAGGTACCATCTTGGATGTGATGGCAGGAGCCCCAGCAGACAGAAGTGGCATTCTAAAGCAAGGGGTTTCGAACTTTCTAAACAAAGGGCCAGTGTACTGTCTTTTAGAGGGGCTGGAATGTGGCCAGTGGGAGTAGAAAATGCCTCAGTGTCACTGGGAGTAAACAATGTCTCAGGCTTGTTGGCCAGTGGGGGTAAAAACAATTACATAATGCTTTTGTAGTAGTGCCCCATCATTGTGAGGAAGTGCCGTGTCATTGGGAGGAAGTGCCCCGTCGTCGGCATCTGTGGGAGGAATAGTGCCCTGTCTGTGGGAGGAATAGTGCCCTGTTATTGGCATCGATGGGAGGTATAGTGCCCTGTCGGTGGGAGCAATAGTCCCCTGTTGTTAGCATTAATGGGAGGAATAGTGCCCCGTCATTGGCGTCGGTGGGAGGAATAGTGCCCCGTCATTGGCGTCGGTGGGAGGAATAGTGCCCCCTCGTTGGCGTCGGTGGGAGGAATAATGCCCCCTCGGTGTCGGTGGGAGGAATAATGCCCCCTCATTGGCGTCGGAGGAATAGTGCCCCCTTGTTGGCATCGGTGGGAAGAATAATGCCCCCTCGGCATCGGTGGGAGGAATAGTGCCTGTTGTTGGCGTCTGTGGGGGGCATAGTGTCCCATCATTGGTGTATGTGGGAGGAATTATACCCCACTGTTGGTGTCAGTGGAAGGGATGGTGCCTCATTACTGGTGTCTGTGGGAGAAATAGTGCTCTATTGTTGGTGTCAGTAAAAAGGAATAGTGCCTCTTACTAGTGGGAGTGCCTCATGGGCCAGATAAAGTCAAGAAAAGGGCTGCAGTTTGGAGACCACTGCTTTAAAGTATTTACTATTGCTCCTTCCCTGGCAGCTACATAAAAGGTTATGTAGAGAAGGGGAGGTGAAGGAGCTGGGCCAGCACAAACAGTAATTGGACACTCCCAGAAGAGGTAAGGGCTGTAATGTGCAAGGAAGGAGGAAGCTGTGCTAGAGAACTGACTGTACCTGCAGAAGAGTTAGGTTTAAACTGGAATTTCAACTCTAACTAGCATTAAAACTGTCCCCTCCCAACTCCTAACACCTATGCTAACTAACCTGTGTAAGAAAAATGTATACAGCTACTGTGATAGACAACACAAAAAGAAAAAAAATAGCCCTGGGCACACTTTTGAAACCACAGGCTTTAGGACCCTGGGCAGTGACCGGACAGTGAGGAGATGATGGAAGGTAACAAATGTTACAATTCACAAGGTAAAACACTGCTTGGGAAAATGAAGGAAATGAGAGATACAATGTATTCATGCAGTCAGATGAACCAACCACAAATGGATACAGATGAGAGGCAAAAACAAATCTCCAGAGGTATCGCAGATTCTAAAATGAAGCAGCTAAAAATGACAGACCCTTAGCCTGGGTTCACACTAATGCAGTGCAGAATTTGCACCGGTTTATGTGTGAATTCCGCACCACATCAAAATCGAACCGGGTGTGTACGTCAACAACACCCCGAAATCAGTTCACAAAACGCGGTGCGATGTGCAGAATCGGATCACATAGGTGTGAATACCCATGCAATCTGATTCTAGTGCGGACAAAAAAAGGGTCCTGCAACTTTTTGGTGTGGATGCGGTGCGATTTGAGCCATATAAAATGTATGGCTCAAATTGCACCGCACACAAATCGCATGTGATTTGCACAGGAATGCGGAGCGGTTCCTGTGCGAATCACATGCAATGTTCCACATCACAGAAGTGTAAACTCAGGCTTAGACATCCTTCTCTTGTGTGCTTGGGGAAGCAGGCTCTGGAGAGATAAAAAGGGGAGGCAGAGAGAAGTGCCACAAGATCATGCTGTAATAAACTTTTTAGAGAGAACTTTCAAGAGGTGGATGGAGGTGAACTGCTGCAGTAGGAAGGAATCCCATTGCTGAGACCAAGGAGACGCTGCCCGTTCTGACTCCTGAGCAGTGCCTGTCACTGGAACATTGCTCTGTGATTTTTTTCCTCCTGTGCTGAAGCAATGGATTGTGTGATATGCATTTCGGGATACTGTCATGTCCACTTCATTAGTCTCCTGGATGTGATAGTATCCCAAAACGCTTATCTCATGATGCTTTGCTTACGCACAGGAGGAAATTCACAGAGCGGTGCCACTCAGGAGCTGGCATGGGAAGCATCTCCTTAGTCTCAGCAGCAGAATTCCTTCCTAATGCAGCAGTTCAACTCCATCCACCTTTGCCCAGACTGATCTTCACGATCTGATATACTCCCTTTCCTCCTCCTTTGTGAGTGCAATTTATTATGATGCCTTTTACCCTTTAATAAGAAGTTTTACACTATGATCTTGTGGCGTCTCACTCTCCCTACCCTTTGTATATACTTACTTACTGTACTCATTTTCAGGTCGCTCAGTCTGGTCATGTAATTTCCTCTGTGTCTGCCAGTGGCAGGTGCAGGGGAGAAGAGATAACATTCTGACAATGGCAAGTAAAGCTTGAAGCGGTGGCGTCATCCATAGGCTTCAATGGCCCGTCCTTTGCCTCCACTCCCTCATCTCCCCTGAAGCTGTGCTGGCTAACACAGGGGAGCCAGATCATGTGACCAGATCAGAGCTGCCTGAAAGTAGGTAAGTGTATATAGCATATACCCCAAAAGTCTCAGCAGGCAATATCCCCATAAAATGTATATGTATTTAATGCATGTACTGTCTATGGGAACTCTTATGTTATGATATAGCATAGATTCACTTAAACCAGAACTCCAGGTGCAGGCATCCTTATACCTTCATAAAGGAAAGAAGTTACTCCAGGTCAGATGTGGTACATGAGCAGATTTTCTCTTTACTGTACTATTCATACATTTATATACGCCGGATACTACAACCAGGGATGTACTTCTGGCTGCTGCTGCTATGAGAGCTGCGACATTCATAGTAGGTAGCAGCAGTGGTGTTTATCTACCCTCCCTCTATCCATGCCATTCACAGAAAATTTTGTATAAAATACAAAGCGTTCTGTGAATGGCCAAGGAGATAGGGAGGACGGATAAACAACTTTAACCCTAGGTTCACATCTGTGCGGGTGGTGCCACTGCGGATCCGCACGAAAATCCGCACAGAGAAATGCGGACCCGCGGGCAGGCGTCATTAGTTCTAATGGCACACCGCCTGCACTAGAAAACGCAACCGTACTGGGAACTGAGGTTCCCGTGCGGGCTACATTTTCCAAAGAAGTGCAGGGACAAATTCCCTGCTTGTCACGGGCACGGAAGTCCGTTCAAATTAATGGGCTCTTGTGCTTGTGCAAAACGCGGCCCGTATGGCCGCATAGATGTGAACCGAGGGTAAAGCAGAGCTCTAGTCTCCCCCCAAAAAATTAAGTCAGCAGCTGCAAATACTGTAACTGCTGACTTTTACACAAGGACACTTACCTGTCCAGGGATCCAGTGATGTTCTCACCTAAGCCGATTCTTCAGCTGGCTTCGGGTGCTGGCGCAGGCATCTTAAGTAAGGGAAACCGGCAATTAAGCCTTTGTGGCTTCATAGCTGGATTCTTACTGTGCATGCGTGAAGCATGCTGCACTTTGTAGATGGTCCTGCAGTTTTCTGGGACCTGTAACGTGTCCTGGGAGTCTGTGGGGGGGTGGTGGGCCGGCAAACGTCCGTCTCATATTGCCGCGGTACATCTGCCCAGAAATGGGAGCAGGTACTTGTCAAAACCAGGTACCCGCTCCCTCCCTAAAAGTGCCAAATGTAGTGGTGGAGGAGGGGATGCAAACAAGCAGAACTTCCCCTGTTGGGTGAGGTTCCGCTTACAGCCTTCTGTGTATGAGATCCACAGCTCTTATAGCAGCAG